CCCCAAAACCCCAAAACCCCAAAACCCCAAAACCCCAAAACCCCAAAACCCCAATTTTTTGTCGGAAAATTGCAAGTTATAAGCAGAACCATAAATCCTAAAATTCAAATTTTCATCTTTCCCTGCTATCTTATCCTTAACTCTCACCCTTGTTAACCCTGACTCTTCTCTTCGCTTTCTTCATAGCATTAATTTCCTCTTTAAGTAGCTCTTCTTCATCGACATCGTCAAGATATTCATCGATGATCCGCTTATTACTAGGGATGTCTACAAAATCTATTCTATCTTTGTTATAGAGACTTTTATGGTTGTAGTCCAGTGGCCCTCTGTTTTTATAACATAGCTCAATGATTTGATGCTTTTTACGAAACTCTTTAAGCTCATTGACCCTGGCTTTCATCAGCTTTGTCCTGAATTTCGTCCTGTCTTTGTATATCTCAATACGTGCACGCTCGTAGTACTTGTTGAAGAGCTTGATTATTCTGGGATCACTAAAATCGAACTTCTCTTCACCTTGAGAAACCATCTCGAAGAAACTGTAGAAATCTAATTGGAGTAGGTTGATCTTTTTTTTCTCAATGTTTTCTTCGACTTCTTTATTTCGTCCTCATGATGTCTACACGTTAGGCAGAGAAGTACTGATTGCTTTGGAGACAGACCATTCTTGACATGACTTAGGTGGAGGATTACTAAGCGCATTCCTCGTCCTTCGGTTACCGTTTTTATTTAGAATCTTATTGCTGCCCTTCTTGCTCTGGGTACCTGACAAGTTAGTGATGTCATTACCTTCGCTTTCAGATTCTAGCTTCACTTGACCTATTTTAGACTGAATCATGAACTGCTTTGTAAAATCATCAAAAGGATCATCTGGAGCTATAGGATCATCATAAGAAATTATTCAAAATGATCAAACCTAAAATTAACGAGGGGTGTAACTTCTTACTGATTTTATTTTTCTTGGTGATATTTCCTTTAGTGCCCTCTGTTTGGTCAAGCTCAGGCATCTTTGGAGCAACTTTTGGAATTTTTGTCAGCTCCACTTCAGGTGTAGTAACTTGCTTTAGATTCTTTTGTCTATTCTTCATAGCACCTAAAATATTCCAAAGTATTACATACGATACATTCTGTACATTACTGGCGAGAAGGTGTTCTTCAAAAGAATAGGAGACCTTGACTTTGCAGCTCCTTGAGGCTCATATTTTGATTTATTTGATCTAAATGTCAAAAATATATGGTACATTCTGAACATAGCTGCATAAATCTCTTATCTTATCATTTGATTGTATCCTATTAGGCCTTGTCATATCATTTTCCAAATCTTGGATGCCTCTCTTAGTGGGTATCATCTCTAAACATAAAAACTAGGGTACTCATGTCAAATGAGATGGCTTTATAGCCTGACTTTAGTACTGATTTTTTCTTCAACACCATTTTCTTTGTATTTGGCTTCTTCTGAAGAGGTTTGGCAGGATCTAAATAATATCAGTACCAATAAAAATGATGACGGTACCTCTAAGTAAATCGGTCAATTTATATTGTGGACTAAAAATGGTTTGGAAAGCCTTCTGTTTAGGTTCTATCTCTCTTACTCTTGGCTTCATTTCTATATCACAATTAGTGATTGTTAACTACCTTTGACCACCAATTTATTTTGGAGAGAAGAAGTGCATTCTTGTTTGTGTTGTTAGTGGAGATTTAACTTTTGCATTATGCCCTGTTGTGTTTATTACTGTAATTACTGTACTTAGCATTCATTTTCTCACTCCCATTGTATAACGATTGCACATCTGAACCTCCCTGGAAGGTCAGGTTTTGGCTAACGCTGTTGAAATGGTAGAGAATTGAAGTGCTCTGGTTGTTGTCTTTCGAAGTTTCCTCCCTCTGCATTCTCTGTGTACTTTGTTGTGTTGAGTCTATCACAGTTTAATTTCCATTCCAACAAAGTTTTATAGTAAATTACCTGCAATATTATGGAATGTAAAGTTCAATTTGGTGTTGAGACTCGGAAATTTCTGATCTTTGTGGGCTGACATGGTTGGAGCTAATATATTTTATTGTATATAATAATTAAGTAAAGTTTTCAAGAGTTTTGAATAATTCAATATTTTAGCCAAGCGAAGGGGTTTTGGGGTTTTGGGGTTTTGGGGTTTTGGGG